AAATTGCATCCTCTTCAAAATGAGTTTTGGATGGGTCATTTCTAATAAAGTATGAGAAAGTTATGCTTGGTCAAAGTTGAGTTGACTTTTCCTGCAAAACCCTAATTTAGCAACTTTTGAATCTTGATGAATCTTGAGCAATCCTTGATGAATCATGATCAACCATTGATCAAATGATGAATTATCCTTCAAAATGAGAATGTTGACAAAAAAATCTTGAGGTTTGACTGTATTTAGGTCACAGTTGACTCTTGTCCTAGCACAGACGATTTTTGGACTTCTTGAGCAATTAACTGACCAAACTTTCTCTGCAAGGCTTGAAATTTGACATGGATGAACTTGAGAACATATTAGGACATTGGAAAGCATTTGAGACCATTTGAATGTGAGGACCTTGATGCAACACAAAATCCTAATTTTGAATTGACTGCCTTAGGAGGTGATTTGACTGTCCAATTCTTGAGCTATCTTGAACAACTTGGAGATGATTCTTGACATGTCCTTGAGAAATATGGGAGGGCAAATTTTGGGGTACAACAATAATATAGTAATACGACTACAAAATTTATGGGCGAAATTTAAGGTACAATATATATCCCTTTATGTTGCTAGCATTAAATGTGATATATATACCTTTATGTTGCTAGCATTAAATGTGATATATATACCTTTACGTTACATTCTAAAATAGATGATATCATTTCCTAATATGGAAAAAAATAAAATAAAATTGTCATAATATTTTGTGATTACAGATACTAAATAATATTGAATTAACAGCCGTATTAGTGTTCTGCAAACATAAATTCAAACAATTTATTTGCAAAGTTAAAGAAATCCTTAATCACCTTTGCTAAGTACATAATTTTATTTATACTTGTAGAAAAACTATTTTCATATATTTCAAAGTTGTAATTTAAATGGGAGAACAAACGTGTTTAAATAGATACATATATAAATCTAATGAACTTATTTAATGGATTTTGTATAAATAAAATAAAATAAAATAACTATAAATGTTAATATATTCAACACTCTCCCCCTCAAATTGTTGAATGGATATATCGACAATTGCAAGTTTGGAAGTAAATTGGTTGAAAATTGTTTTGTTGATAGACCTTTTAATAAATATTGATGCCCAAAAAATATGTAGGCGGTAGTTATCAATCTAAATTTTCTTTGATGAAATGTTTATCAATCTTAATGTGTTTTGTCCTGTTATGTTGAATCAATTTATGTGCAATAGTGATGGTCAATTCATTATCACAAAACAACTTCATAAGTTCTTCACATTGTATCTTCAAATCTTCTAACACTATTCATAATACTTCACAAGTTTCTAATGTCATAGCTTTGAATTATGCTTCAACACTTGATCGAGCAACTACATTTTACTTCTTATTCCTCAAAGTAAGAAGGTTTATACACAATAAGGTACAACAGTCTGAAGTAGATCTTATATCAATCATTGAACCTTCATAGTCAACATTAGGGTAACCCTTCATAGTTAGACTTCCACCTCTTTTAAAAAAGATTCTTCTTCTTGGAGTGACTTTGAGATATTGTAGAACATGATCAACCACATGTAAGTGTCTCACTCATTGATCATGCATGAATTTTCTCACCATATTGGTTTCACATGTCAAATCTAACCTTGTGTGTGTCAAGTAAGTCAACTTTTCTACTAACCTCTGATATCAACCTTTGTTAACTTTGATATTTTTCTCCTCATATATCATCTTATGGTTTTGTTCAATATGAACACTAGTAGGTTTGAATTAAAGTTTTCTTGTTTCTTACAAAAGATCAAACACATATTTTTTTTGAGAGATAAAAACATCTTTTCTTGAATGGACTACCTCAACTCTCAAGAAGTGCTTCAGCTCTCCAAGATCCTTCATTTGAAATTTTACTGATGATTTATTTTTAAGTAGTTGTCTCTCACTAAAATCATTTCCTATAACAATGATATCGTCAAAATAAACAAGAAGTATAGTCTGATTTCCTCCTTGAATATGTTTAAGAAATAAAGTGTGATCTCTTTGACTTTGCATATAACCCAAACACAATATTGCTTTTACGAATCTTTCAAACCAAGTTTGAGGGGATTGTTTTAGTCAATAAGCCTTTCTTCAATGGACACACCTTGTTGACTTCATTTGTGGTACTAAAACTAAGTGAAACCTTTATATACACTTCTTCCTCTAAATTCCTATACAATAACACATTTTTAACATCTAATTAGTATAATTCTCATCCAGAATACGAAACAAGAGATGGTAAGACTTGAACAATATTAATCTTTACTACTGTGATGTCTCCTCGTAATTAATGCCATATGTTTGAATATAACATTTGTCAATATAATCAAGAGTGTCGTCTAATTTATGTTTTACAATATAGATCAATTTGTATCCAACTCACTTCTTACCTTCTCACCTCTCAACAATTTCCCTACTACCATTTTACTTCCCTACTACCATTTTACTCAAGAGCTTTCATTTTCTCCCTCATAATTAAGTCCACTTTTTATATTTCAATACTTCTTTAACAAATGACAGAATTCTCATAATATCAATAGTTGCAATAAAACTTGGATATCGTTTGGATAGTGTCATGAATGACCGGTATTTTTATGATGAATAGTGTTTCATAATTTCAAACGATGTGCAATTTAAAACGAAAACAAAATAAATCAGTGACGGAAACTAGAATTTAAGTGAAAGCAAAACCACTAAAAATGAGAGCTCATGATATCATATAGAAAAATATTTTATATATTTCAAAGTTGTTAATTACAGTGGAGAAATAACTAGCTCAAATAAAAATAAATTAAAATATAATGAATTTATTTAATGGGTCTCATACTAATAAAAATAAAATAACTATAAATATTAATATTAATATTAACAATAATACTATTAAATATAAAGCACAAGTGTATATTTTTATCCATTTAAATTGATATATCATTGAGATAAGTCATCCATCAAAATGTTATTGTATTCTTTTTTTATGGTTTGTTAATGAAGTAACTACAGCCACGGTTCAGCCTTACAATATTAACCTTTGTTATTTGTTTTGTTGAATTAATAATAAAATGAATTTTATTTATTAAATATTCTTTTTAATAATAGATATTGAAATAGTTAAATTAATCTAAAAATGCCTTAATATTTTAAAAGAATAAATAACTTAAAAGAAAAAATACATAATTAATTTTTAGGTTTCTTAACTATAAGCGAAGTTTTTCTATAGTCTCCGAATTAAAAAATATTATATAATAATCTTTTAATTTCACTTCCATTAAACTATTTAGTCCCTTCTATTAGTTTAGGTGAAAAAACATTAATTATGGTTGAGGTGGCACCTCAGATATGCAAACATAACATAAGAGTTAAATAATCAAATTAAATCAATCAATGAGAAGTCAACACACCTTTATTAAAATTTGAATTAAAAACAAAATAAAAAAGATAGAAAATAAACAAAAGGGACACATGAAATTTTTTTCAATATCGACTTTTGCTCTTTCTTCAAGTTCATCATCTTCACTTCTTCATTGTCATGGCCAAAAAATCGCCACCACCAAAATTCAACCAAGATACAAATTGATGATATAACTCTATCTAATTTTTCTCCCTCAACTCGAATCTCCCGATCAAATTCTCATAAACAACATCAACACTATTTAATTTAAATTAAAAAAATCTGAAACCCTAAAACACAACTCATGTTTGAAACAATATCTAAACTTCTAAAAAAACACAAATATAATCTTAAAAAATTGAAATTCGATTAGAATCATAAACTTACAAGATTTTAAAAAAACAACATTGTAGTTCAAAATCAAATTTTGATGATTGAACAAACAAGGCCTAGAAATAAAATGAGCAAAGATGAGATTTTGAGACTGAAATTGTGATAAACGTGTGAAGTGGGATAATGTGAAAAGGAAAGGAAAAATTGTAAGTTTGTTTTTAAGTGCAGGAGGTGAAAAAATAGAGAGGAAATCAAAGGAAAGGTGAGGTAAGATTGAAAGAGAATGAGAGTAACCAATAAAGATGGAGGGAGAGAGAGACATATGTATAATATATCATTTGATAATTTTAGAGATCCTATTCTATGAGTGCATGTTTGTGTTTGTGTGTGTGATTGTGTACAAAGCTCATTGATTAAAGATTTTATTTTATGAAGTTGGTGTTGTGAAGAAGAATAAAGAATTTAATTTGTAATATTCAAATTAATATAAAATTAAAAAAAATTCAAGTCAGCTATAAAAAGTCTAACAAAACAATTTTTAACGCTTAAAGGACTAAAAAATTTCTAACAAATCCTAGCTCAAAGGACTAAATAATTTTTTGAAGTTAAGGAAATCAAAATAAAATTCGAATGCAATATGTCAAAACTTTCTAAAACTGAAGTGTTAAATTTGAAAAGTGACTAAATTAATATTAAAAGAAGACTTTGGAAGATTTTGAAGGACTTAATCAATTTATTTAAATATAATTTTTATTGTTATAGTATTTTAAAAATTAAAAATATATTAATAATAAATATTATTTCATCATTCTAAAGCTATAAAATTTTAAATATTAAAATTTTCTTTATATTTTAAAAAAAAATTATTTTTGAAAAACATCTCTTCTATCTCCTTCAAACTCCCAAACATAACATAAACTAAGCGACTAAAATGCTAAAATATTGCTTAAATTTTAGAATTGCTCCTCTTACAATCTCAAATAAAAAATGTTCATCTAAAGTAGATATCTTTGAGCTAGGATTTGAATCAGTAACTCTCCACTTCTGAGTATTTAACGTATGAGTTTCAAGGCTACATGTACACTTTATATAAGAAAAATGAAGGCAGATTAATATTATTATTGTAAGAAGGTTGTACACACTTGAGGATTCATACATAGATACATAAATATACTTATAACCAAAAAAGAAAAATTGCAATTTGAGTAAACCGAATTGAAAGGAAGCATGAAGAATGCTCATACAGCAAGTTGGATATCACCCAGATCAAGTTGAGCAGCAATTTCCTCAAGTTTCTTCTTAACACTCATATCAATAAACTTAGAGCCAGAATTCCCATACCTGACAGTAAAACCAGCCACCAAACTTGGATCAAGAAGGGTCTTAGTTCTCACTTTCTTAGCCCCAGTAAGCTTCTGAACCTGTTTTGCAATCTGAGCCAAATGCTGTGACTCCAGCTTCACAACCGAAGTCACAACCACAAGCTCTGTATTAGTTATAGTGTTGTAAACAAATTCAAACTCGTTAACAACGTCGATTATGAGATCGATCCTCTTCGAGTCGATAAGGATGTTAAGGAAGTTTATTGTGTGTGGTTGGAAGTCTGAGGTGGTGGCGAACTCTGTTATGAGTTTGCGTTTTGTGGAGTCTTCGATTATTGGGCTGGAGAAATAGTCGAACACCTTGGGGTCAGAGAAAAGTTGCTCGATTTTCTCGACGTCGGCGGTGGTTGCGTCGAGGGTGTTGTTTGATTTCGCTAAGTCGGCTAAAGCGGTGGCGTAGTTGGAGGCGGCGGCGGAGGACATTGTGGCTCCGAGGGCTCCGCCGGTGGAGCGGCGGGGTTTGGTGAGGGAGAGTTTGAGCTTTGGGGTGAAGGTGGAAAAGGAGAGGCTGAGGATGGGTTTTCGGGTGAGGGTGTTTGTGGCTTTGGGGATGGGTTTGGAGTGGAGTGAAGCGGTTGTGTGTTGTAGAGACGCCATTGTTGGCGTGGGTAGAGGAAGAAGGGTGAGATAAGAAAGTAGTGTGGTTAGTGAAATGAAATGAAGGTGTTTTGTTTGTGTTGTGATTGGTGGGAAGAAGAGAGTGAGATGCTGATAGGATTGAGTTGAGAGGAGCACGATTGCCTCTTATCTGACGGATAAGATAATGGCAATCGAATATGTGGACGTATTTGGGAGAGAAGGATTTGGTTTTTTCAATTGTTTTGAATTAAATAAAAATAAAATAAAATATACAAATATATTTTGATGTACAATTGGTTTCTCCCTTAAAATATTTTGTCCCATGTTTGAGAGACTATGTGCATTCTAGTTTTTTTAGGTTAGGTTTGTAGTTAGATAAAGAATAATTTGTCTCGACTTAACTCATTCATGAAAAAAGGTTAGACTGAGTCACTCATAGTGGGTCATGTCGAGAAGGTTGGTCCAAGATCGAATACAACTTGCTCTAGATGATTATCCATTATATGTATAGACATGGCATTTAAATTCGTAAAAAACCGACCTTGGACAAGGAAACGGGAGACTTAACTCCCCTTTATTGCTTTCAGCGAGGTAAGGGGACATGTGTCGTAATGACAATTAAATCAGCATAAAACTCATGGCATAAAAGGCTTTATAAATATCATCAATCATCAAGAATAAAACACACATTTTTCATACCTTTTAGACTCGGGGAAACATTGTGGCTCTTATTGACCTAACACTGGTAGATTTAACAAATTAGTGTACTATACGTGTGTTTACCTTGGGTTTTGGTAAACAACCGCTGATCCTCCAAATGGTTACTTATTTGGTTACTCGCAGGATCGATCAGATTGATCCTATGGACATAGGTTGATTTTGAAGTTTGATTAAGGTGGATAAGGCTTTAAGTAAAATGTTTCAAGTAAATTGCATAAAGGAAAGACTTGGTAAAATAAACAAGGCTTTAAAGTAAAGGTTCGACAGGAATTTAAAGGAGAAAAGCAAGTAAAATACTGGAAAAGTAAATGACTTTAATTGATAAAATTGGTGTTTCACACATACATTTCTCAACAATTCTTTCGCTCACACTGGGTACTTGAATCTAAATGAGTGACTATGTATCTATTTGTGAACACACGCGAGAAACTGCATGTCTACTCCTATTTATACTAAAACATTCCAAGTAACCGTCGGGCAGTTACACTGCTTCGAGATTAAGCCACTTGGCACGTTCTCCATGCTCGATGCTCCAGATCCTTGCACGTTTGCACGTAGTAACTGCTGGAAACCGTTTTCCCCCCAAAGCTTTGAATTTCAAACTGCTCCACTTTGGACCATCGAACGCTTTCATCAAGAAACGTCTTCGACGAAAACTCCTTCGACGTCGAAGGCAATCAGCCTTCTTCCTTGGAAGAAATCTTCTAAGTATTTTGCCATCTTTCGACGGGCACTTCGACAGGCTTAGCCAGTCGAAAGCGTCTTTCAGCTTTTAATGGCTGCCATCAATCAAAACAAAGGTGTCGAATTTAGGAGCCAACAAATTGCCCCCCAAGAATGCCTTATTTCGACTCTGAAAGAAAAAGGCATTCTTTGAAAACGCCATTCGACACCTGTTTTTCCACGCTTAGTCACAAGTTAACTTGTGCACTTTTTGTTGCTTTTTACCAACCATTGGCAATCCCAAGAAACCATCATTGATTTGATCCTAGGACGTCACTTTCAGTACGGCGTGCAGTACCAAACGTCACTTCAGAATTTGTCATTATGACAAATCCCAAAAACGAGGACGCACGCTGCGTCTCTCTGTTTCTGCAGAAACGGCCAAAACAACAGGATGCTGCCACGCGTCCCACTAATTCTTGCAGCATTAAATGACATTTAATGTCCTCGTTATTGGGAATTTCTCCCACTACTATAAATAGTAGTGAATATCCCATTGTGGGACTTTTTACGCAAACTAGCCCTCAAACTCCCTTGCTTTCGTACAAACTTGCTCTCTTTGCAGAAAAACTCTTCCTTTTTCACTTCATCTTCATCCTCAACAATGGCCTCTGCTTCTACTGCCCCCAAGACTAACGCACCAACTGAACAACTTGTTAAGCCCAAGGTCTTTGTTACTGCTCCGGTAGTGAACTCTACAGGGAAACGAAGGGTTCCCGAACCTTCTGACATCTCCGTTCGCGATGCTTACTCGCGTCACTTGATGATCCCGGTTGGATACTCCAACCAGATCTTCACAATGTCTGGCCCCATGAACCCAAGCATCTCTGAAGCTCTGAAGATCAAGAGCTATTTCCCCATCGTCGAGAAACTCAAGCCAGTAGCATGCGCCAAGAAGGACGCAGAAGACAACGAAGACCCTACACGCGAGAAAATCGACCTCCGTTTCTTCAACAGAAGTGTTAGGGTCTTCAGGTCTTGCCCTAATCTGACCTCTGACTATGTTGCTTGGCTAACAAAGTTGGAGAAACATCAAACTCCAGCCTGGAAGGAAATGGGAATCTTTGACCTAGTAATGCTGTCGAAGACAGGCTTAAACTACTCCCCAGAGATGCTTATAGCTTCGCTGTTGTTTTGGGATTACTCTCACTTCACCTTTCACCTTCCATGTGGGATGTTAACCCCCACACTCTTCGACGTAGCGGCCATCACTGGCCTTCGACCAACCGGAGATTACTTCGACCCGGAAGAGATGTCGAAGGACCAAATTGGCTTCTCTGAGACCAAGCCAACATACACCACCTTTATCAACCATTATCACGACAGGTCGACGGATACAGTGTCGGATGTCGAACACATAGCGTTTCTAGCCTTATGGCTAACTCGCTTTGTGTTTTGCTCGAAGTCTCTACAAGTGACCAAAAAGATGGTCACTCTTGCCACCCAACTGCATCACCGCCAAAACATCTGTTTGGCAGAACTAATTCTGGCCAGTCTTTATGACTCAATCAGCAATGGGGTTACTCTCTTGAAACATATCGAAGATAGGGCCAGTTTGCTACTCGCTGGGCCTTTCTGGCTACTTCAACTGTGGCTCAACGCCACTTTCGAATCTTTCTTACCCAAGAAGATTCAGATAAATGAACAAGCCCCAGCGATAGCTAATAGACGTATCGAAGGAATTAGGCTGGCTCTACTGACACCTGTGGAAGATGGGCTAGAGTTTCAACAAACCTTCACTAACTTCGTTCTGATGTTCGCTCGAAGGAAGGAATTTGTTTCAACTATGGCTCCATTTGCTCAACGGAGGGTGGGGCCAGCATGGTTCACAAGGCCACATCCAAAGGAGTCGAGTGGTCCCAATGTCGATGAGCACACTGTACTTTGGGAGGCGTTCCTGACACCCAGGATCATGCCTCTTCGATTTAAGAGTTCTAAGACTCATTTGAGTCTGCTTGCCTATCAACCAAATCTGGTATCTCGCCAGTTTGGTATCATCCAAACCCTGCCTTCTCCTATTTTTCAAAGAGAGAAGTCAATGTTGTACTTCTGCAACGATTATACAGAAGAAGCTGCCATCAAGCATATCGGAAGATATGCTGGTCGAACAATCCTCTCGCTGTTTGACTACCAGCTTAATTTCCTTTGCTCACCATCCTTTGAGGAGTGGTGGAGAAGCTATTATGCTGAGTACTTCTTCGACGAGAAGGACTTCATGGCAGAGTTGCAGAAGTCTTTTGTCCTTGTGTTGGACAAAGTAAAGAAATGTAAGTTCATGCTCTCACATTACTTTTTATCTTTCTCTTCGACTGTTAGCCTGTTAACTTTCCTTTTCGCTTTCAGTTGTTCGAAAGCCCTTAGCCAAGAAGGCTACAGAAGGCCCACAAGGAGGAGTCCCTTCGACAAAACCTCCACTGCCGGCGAAGACTATAGCGTCGGCGAAGACAACAGGCAACCAACAGGGGGAAGGCTCTTCGAGGAGGCCTCCTGCATCGGTAACCAGATTTTCTTCATTTTTCTTCTGGCTTTCGATTTTTTATTTTCGGTGTAATTATTCAATCGAATTCCTATTGGTTTTCTAGGCCCCTTCGCCCAAGAAAAGGGCAGCATTGGTGGTCGAATCGGGGAGTGATGACGAAAGTGATTCCCCTCCCGCTCCCTTAAAGAGGCGAAAGTTAACGAAGGACGCTTCTGTTCCTACTCCTGCCCCTGAAGGTCGAACCGTCAGAATAAAGGTCGCTGTGAGAAAGCCTAGGCCACCTGCAGTGATCATCGAGGAGCCAACTGAGGAGGAACTGAACGCTCTTCTTACCAAGCCTGTCGAAAGTGACAATTCCAGCCCTGGGGCTGAAGTTAATCCACAGGTAATCTATTTTAGGCATAGATACCAGTATTCGATTGTATCTCTTTCGACATCTGAAGATTTGTCTTCTTTCTCCTTTTCAGGACACTACTGAAAGTTCCCCACCAAGGACTTCAGAAACTCTAGAATCTGCTGACCTTAGCAGGCCTCAGGAAAAAGATTTGGGCAATGACGAAGCCCACACTGAGAATGAGGCCAATGCTGAAACAGTGGAGAAGACAACAGAAGAACCTATGGTGGAGGAAACACAGCCAGAAACGGTTCCTGTGGTGGACTTGTCATCAGAAGAGAATCCTGAAGGAAGAGACCAAGGCAATGGCGAAGAGAATCAAGATGCTGTTGACGAAGAGCACCAAGGTGGTACTGGCGAAGAACACCAGGGTGACGCTAGCGAAGAGCCACAAAATGACGCTGGCGAAGGACCCCAAGGTGATGTTAACGAAGAACCACAAGTCGACGCTAGTACCGCCTCAGTCCAAGTCGAAGAGCAACCAAACGAGGCACTCAGCATTCAACAACCTCAAGCCCAAGATAATACTATGGCAAGGGTCACCTCCTCAAAGCACAGGTCAAAAGAGGACTTGGAAATCTTGAAACAAACTGACCCTGTCAGCTACCTCAATGCAATCATCGAGAGTAAGAGTTCTTCTGACACTAGTCAGGAAATTCCTACCCTGTCGGGGAAATCTACTGAAACTTCTCCTCTTGATGA